GGGGGGGGGGGGTCATTGTTGACGTTAACAAATTAAAATCCATCAGATAAATGATTGAAACCAGTCTAGTGCTGTTCCTTTGATCCCTTCATGTTGCTCTAGTCTCTGTCACAGAATCTTATGATCTTTGGTGTCAAATATGTAACAAACAGTGTGGCATCAAAGGCAGCTGCCTTTGAACAGTGTGCTATCACTGCTGAGGAGATTTGCTCGTTTCAACAGTGTTAAAACAGTAAAGAGAACAAGTGAACGAGAGCAGAAGGAGCAAAGATCTGTTTCTGTTCAGAAGAAGTGAAAGTATTCTACATTCAATGGCAACAGGTGAAATGGCGCAGCAAGAAAATCCACTGGACAGAGAAAAAATTAGCTGTAAGATCTGTCTGTGTCTACTGAAGGATCCTGTGACTACTAACTGTGGACACAACTTTTGTATGAAGTGTATTAACTCCCACTGGGACAATGAGGATAACAAAGAAATCTACAGCTGTCCTGTGTGTGGACAGACCTTCACAGCGAGGCCTCTCCTGGTGGAAAACACCATGTTAGCTGATATAGTGGAGATAAAGAAGGCTGGACTCCAAGTTGCGGCCAATTACGTTTACGAGGCAGCCAAAGAGGGTAAATTACTGGACCTGGCCGAGCCGTTGGTCACCCGTTCCGAGGCGGAGATCCGCTTCCTGCTCAGCTACGTGACCCAGATGTCTGTACAGAGATTCACCCCGCTCATCATCGCTGCCCGGAAAGGACACGTCAAAGTGGTCCAGATGCTCCTGGACCACTTTCCTGTGGACACGGAACAGACCGGCACGGTTCGGTTTGACGGGTAAGAGCCGTACTTCATACTTCATTGATTACCAACAATGCTTTTATTTTGAAATAGCAACCAGCCAGTGATTGACATTAAACCCTGAACGTTGCTTTGATGTTTCCTACTTGACAGGAAGTGAAACCTGAACTTTAAGAATCTGGTTAATTCGGACATTAAACACTACGTTTGAACTCAGTCATGTTTTGAGTGAGAGCGGCTCAGCCTGGAGAAGAGCCGCCACAATCACAGGATGAGATGAGAAGAGACTGTGAACGTCCTCCTCGTCTGTCTTCTTTCAGTCGTAACCTTCTGTCTCTCTGTTCTACAGCTACGTCATAGATGGAGCTACAGCTCTGTGGTGTGCGTCCAGAGCGGGACATTTTGAAGTGGTGCGCCTGCTGGTGAGTCACCAGGCTAACGTGAACCACACCACCATCACTAACTCCACCCCGCTGCGGGCCGCCTGCTTTGATGGCCGTCTGGACATCGTGCGGTACCTGGTGGAACACGATGCAGACATCAGCATCACTAACAAGTACAACAACACCTGCCTGATGATCGCCGCCTATAARGGGYACACGRACRTAGTCAAATTCCTGCTGGAGCGAGGGGCAAACCCCAACGCAAAGGAGCACAGCGGCAACACCGCCCTGCACTTTGCTACAAAGCGGGGACATCTGGACATAGTGAAAGAGCTGGTGCGTTGCCAGGCAGCCATGGTGGTGAAYGGACACGGCATGACGCCGCTGAAGGTCGCTGCAGAAAGCTGYAAAGCTGATGTGGTGGAGCTGCTGCTGGCACACGCCGACTGTGACCCCGGCAGCCGCATTGAGGCCCTGGAACTGCTCGGCGCCTCATTCGCCAACGACAGGGAGAACTACGACATCCAGAAGACGTACCACTACCTGCACACGGCCATGATGCAACGGTACCATAACCCAGAAAACATTATCGCCAAAGAGCTGTTGCCACCCATCGAGGCCTATGGGGGGTATAGCGAGTGCCAGAAACCATACGACCTGGAGACCATCAGGGCAAACCGGGACGCCCTGCACATGGAGGGGCTGATGATCCGGGAGCGAATCCTGGGCTCTAACAATATTGACGTGCCACACCCCATCATCTATCGCGGTGCTGTCTATGCTGACAACATGGAGTTTGACCAGTGCATCAAACTGTGGCTTCATGCGCTTCGCCTGCGGCAGAAAAGAAACCGCAACACGCACAAGGACCTGCTGCGCTTCGCCCAGGTCTTCTCCCAGATCGTGCACCTTAGTAGGCAGGTGAATGCCTCGGCCATGAGGCAGGTGTTGAGCTGCAGCGTGTTGGAGATTCAGCGCAGCATGACTCGAGTGGAAGCGGCGGCAGAGTCTGAGCTGCCGCAGACCCTGGACAATTACGAGTCAAATGTTTTTACCTTCCTGTACTTGACCTGCATTGCCACCAAAACCAGATGCAGCAACAACGAGCGCGCCCAAATCAACAAGCACATCTGCGACCTGATCCAGCTGGACCCGCGGTCACGAGATGGCTCCTCGCTGCTGCACCTGGCCGTCAACTCCACCACACCGGTCAACAACTTCGTCATGGATGTCTGCAGGTTCCCCAACTTAGAGGTCACCGTGCTGCTGCTGAACTGTGGCGCACAGGTCAACGCCATTGACCATGAGGGCAACACCCCGCTGCATGTCTTTGTCCAGCACAACCGGCCAAACGACGCATTTACTAATGTATGGATTAGAAACATCCTGCTGATTGGGAGCATCCAATGGCTATACACAACATTCAGGATGCCACTGGACATAAGCACCACGGGTCCTTTTTTTTGGATGCTGGGTTCCTTGTGGTTCCCATAGTCTCCAAAAGTAGATTGGGAGCCAGAGCTTTCAATTGTCAAGCTCCTCTTCTGTGGAACAAACTACCATTTTGGGTTCAGGAGGCAGACACGGTCAACACTTTTAAGAGTAGACTTAAGACTTTCCTTTTTGATAGAGCTTATAGTTAGGGCTGGCTCAGGTCATCCCTTAGTTATGCTGCTATAGGATTGTTAGTGTGGCGGCGCGAGCATAGGATGCTTCAGAACAGCATCAAATGAGTTCAATTGCTACCAGACAACGCCACCCTGGGATTTTCACCCAGGGACTTATTTAAATGGGTCAATTCAAGAGAAAGGCACTCAGGTCCATTTGACAGGGAAGGCAGAGACGGTGGTTCAGAGGTACAAAAGTATGTTTCTTTATTAATTACAATTTAGTAGTTTAAAATCTTAACAGTAAAACTCCCTCCCTGAGGAGTTAACAGGGGTCCAACCAGGGCTGAGGCCTACTGTGTCGGGGGGTCCAAAGTAAAAGGATTCCAGGGACACCTCACGTGACGCAAATAAGAGAAAAGTGAAACACGGCAAACTAACAGGCATAGCATGATATAAAAGGGGAACACCACCACCGTAGGCGTCAGCACCTGGACGGACAAATCAGAGAGAGACAGGTCAGGGATGATACAAATATAAATCAAGTTGCACTTAATCACAAAAGAAAATAAATCAATTAATCAATTAAATTCGTCCATTCAAAACCCACAATAACCAAAATAAACACAAGACTAAGAAAATAATCCCCTTTAAGGGCTGTCACAACACTAATTACTACAAAAGAAAATAACTACGACCAAAAAGGACAACTAAAACAAACAAATGCACATGAACGTGCACTCTCTCTCTCACACACACCCACACATTAAAATGTGGCTAAGACAAGTGGGCCACACAGCGCTGCACTCAGTCTCAGCCAGGCGACGATGCGCTTAGCATGCAGCACCAACGGTCCCGGCAAAGCAGTTTACTCAGCCGGCGCTGCGCCGTTACTTCTTTTATCCTACAATAATAGTAATAGTAAACAAACAAATGTGAGCAACTTGTTAGTGGCTGGAGGAGGAAGCTAGCGTCGCCACGTTACCTACCGGTCAGGCCGTCCCCGACCACACGAAGCAGCGCACCTCCCAGCAATGAGCAGCGAACCGGCAAACAGGGGGCAGCAACGTCCTAGGACGTGGTGAGCAGCGTGCAGCCAGCAGCAATGTACAAACAAACCTCTGCCACCACACAGGAGCGGAGGCGACGGATGCAGGGAAGTGACGTCACCCACCCAGCCTTCAGCAAGCCAGAGGGAGACAGGTGCTCTCTACCTGCCTTTATACATTCTATCCCCCCCGGGCGATTGGCTGGGACTGTAATCGCTGCAAGGACATTCAGGTATATCCATCAACGTGAGTCTTTATTCCTTACAGCAAAGACATCATGACAGGCTTCCAAATAGATGATCCAAGCTGCTCACATAATGGACAACTGGTGCTTAAGAAAAAAACTGTGTCACTGATTAACATAATTGGAATATACCATTAACAGGTGTTCAATTTGTCCCAGACCCCTGCTAACGCAGTTGACACAATATTATATATTTATGCAAACAGTATATTTACAGTGGATACCCTCTAATGCACTTTAGTCACCCCAAAACTATATCCCCACCTCAAATACAATAAATACAAATTATAGAGCACCCCCATGCCTCCCGGAACGTTTATTTGGGGTGCGTTTCCCGGGGGACTGTTTTGGATGGGACACCCTGGAGCGGACAGAGGGAAAGGACGGTGAGTTTTTATTCGCACTTCAACAAATAACTACTTCACACCGACGCCTTAACAACATATATAGCAAACAGATTTATCTAGATGCACACACATTTAACTTTAGCTCATCCATAATGACCATGCTATTTACTGACGTTGTCGGCTTCTTAATATACGAGAAGTCTCTTTCAGACGGAGCCGACTACACGCCGCAGCACCCGCAAGACGACAGCTCCATCACTGGTCAAACTATTTCACACACACAACGAGAAATAATGACTCGCTAGAAAATTTGCAGATATGCAATGTGCAAAATGTTCTGTGCAAATCCTGCGAATAAAGTGCTAATACAGTTATAAACGTGTGAAGTGTTATTATGTATGTGTATCGTGAACATATTTCTGTGCAATAAATACAAATCCCCATTTGTGCAATATTTACAAGGCACACCACTGCAGGTACTAGTGACCAAGTTCCCTTTGTTACAAGAATTAGACTGCTGGGGGACCCTCCCTCTCTCTCTCTTTCTCTCTATCTCTCTCTCTCATCATCATTACCATCTGTAAACATACATGTCTCATGAATGATGTTAATGCATGTTACAAACTAAACTTCTTCGCCTAAGTTTCTGTGCTCTCTCGTCCAGGAGGTTCTCATCATGGATCATGGCTGCTCCCGGTCATGGATCGTGGTTGCGACTACTGCCATGGCCCTGCCTGACATCCACTCTTGTTATTACTATTAGTCATAATTCTATGACATTAATATTGACTTGTTTATTATTGTAGTATTGTTATATATTACCACCACTGCTACTGTAATCATTGTCTTTCATTGTAATTGTACAATATGTTTCTGTGGCGTTGTTCTGTACATGTGACATCCATTGCACGTCTGTCCGTCCTGGGAGAGCGATCCCTCCTCTGTGTGTCCCTGAGGTTTCTTCCACCTTCGTTTCCTGTGCAGCTCCTTCACCACCGGGTTCTCTCTGACTGACAGGTGCAGCTCTTAGCCAATCAACACGAGCCGACGATGGATGGATTCGGCCACCAGGTGGAAGCTGGTTCCCATGACGATGAAGATGATGCCGAGGTGGACGATGGGGAGGGGCAGAATCCTGGGACTGCGCTCGAGTATCTGAAATGGAGAACAGATGTTGTATGACGTGTTCAGTATGACATGTTTAGAATGACGTGTTCTGTATGACATGTTTAGAATGACGTGTTCAGTATGACATGTTTAGAATGACGTGTTCAGTATGACATGTTTAGAATGACGTGTTCTGTATGACATGTTTAGAATGACGTGTTCWGTATGACATGTTTAGAATGACGTGTTCWGTATGACATGTTTAGAATGACGTGTTCTGTATGACATGTTTAGAATGACGTGTTCAGTATGACATGTTTAGAATGACGTGTTCTGTATGACATGTTCAGTATGACGTGTTCTGTATATGACATGTTATGCGTGACGTGTTCAGCTTGACGTGTTCAGCGTGACGTGTTCTGATGCAGTTACTTTGAGCAGGATGAGCGGAGCCGTGACACTGTAGAGAACGTGGAGAAGTTCCGCTGCACCAGGACGGTTCAGAGGAAACAGGTTCGCTGGGAGGACGAGCTGCCGGAAGAAAAAATTAAAAAGTTAGATTTTTGCTTTATTTCTGATTCAGACGATGACTCCATTCATGACTGATTCATTTCAGTGTTTATCTATTGATAGACAGAGACTATCAGTGACGCTGAAGTAAAGATGGACGACACATGAAAAGTACTGGAGCCGCCATGTTGTGATGTGATGACAGTTGGGTCGGGGGTTTGTCAGAGAAATGAAACGTGAAAATCAGAAACTGATCTTGAAGCTTTAGCTTAAAATCTCATATGATTCAGTCTGAAGAGGAAAACAACTAAAGAAAGATCCTGTCATCATCCCGTTACCATGACAACAGGTCGGCCCACATCCAGGACCCAGTTCTGAACGGTGAAACTGAGCCAGAGGTCCAGGTGGAACCATAGCTTCGGCAGAAGTGTGTTAAAATTGCAGCGTTGCATGAAACAACATCAGCTGCTAGGACCACGTCCACGGGCCCGCTAGCAACGGCACAAGACTGGGAGCTGAACGTTGACCTGGGGAAGCAACTGAAGTTCCCAGAAGTCATTTCCACGCCAGTGTTAAGGCCGGACATGGTGCTGAGTCTGAGTCTGTCTGACCTGCAGTCTGCACAGCTGCATCAGTTAACATGGGAGGGTATCAGAATCAGAAAGTCTTTATCAATCTCCGTAGGAAAATTCAAACGTCACATAGCTCCTGAGAAAGAGGTGAAAAAGCAAAAAACAGGTATAAACATAGTAATATAAAATCAAGTAAGACTAAAATGAAATAAAAGATATACATATGTATAAATACAGACCAGGTATGTATAGATTTACATTTGTACATGAATGTAAGTTAAAGTATAAACAGTATACAGTACTAAGCTTTTTAAAATTACAGTTATCATTATACAGTTTGACAGCCACAGGCGGGAATGATTTCCTGTGGCGTTCTGTCGAGCAGCGTGGGTGGATGAGTCTGTAACTGAATGAGCTGCAGAGGGCTTCTTTGGAACAGGGACGAGGCAAGACATTTTCCACAGCACTGGAACCCTCTGGAGACTCAGGCTCATATTGAAGATGTGCTGAAGAACTCCACACAGCTGGGAGGCACAGGTTTTCAGGACCCTGGGGCTCACGTCATCTGGGCCTGCTGATTTTCCTGTGTGGAGTTTCTTCAGTTGTCTTGTCACCTGCTCAGCAGTGGAGGTCAAGACCGGTGAAGGGGGAGTATTGGTGCATCCCTGGAAAATGCTCTCAGACAGGGGATCTGCAGCCATTTGAAAAACTAAATGATATATTTATGTATAGATGAATTGACTATTGATGACTACAGTGAGATGGGAAGATTGTAGATTTCATTCTTTTAATTTAAATTTGAAATTTGAACTTTACTATGTTCCATGGTGTGTGTTATTGAGACTATCACCTTTGTCTTTATGTGATTCATTGTTGACGTTAACAAATTGAAATCCATCTGATAAATGATTGAAACCAGTCTAGTGCTGTTCCTTTGATCCATTCATGTTGCTCTAGTCTCTGTCACAGAATCTTATGATCTTTGGTGTCAAATGCTATAATATGTAACAAACAGTGTGGCATCAAAGGCAGCTGCCTTTAAACAGTGTGGCATCAAAGGCAGCTGCCTTCAAACAGTGTGCTATCACTGCTGAGGAGACTTGCTTGTTTCAACAGTGTTAAAACAGTAAAGAGAACAAGTGAACGAGAGCAGAAGGAGCAAAGATCTGTTTCTGTTCAGAAGAAGTGAAAGTATTCTACATTCAATGGCAACAGGTGAAATGGCGCAGCAAGAAAATCCACTGGACAGAGAAAAAATCAGCTGTAAGATCTGTCTGTGTCTACTGAAGGATCCTGTGACTACTAACTGTGGACACAACTTTTGTATGAAGTGTATTACCTCTCACTGGGACAATGAGGTTAAGAGAGGAATCTACATCTGTCCTATGTGTGGACAGACCTTCAAACTGATGTCTGTCCTGGTGGAAAAAAACGAGTTAGCTGATATAGTGGAGGAGATGAATACTAGACTCCAAGCGATATGTTCTGTATCAGTTCCTGCTGATCATAGCAGTGATCTGATACAGAACACATCAGCAGGAGCTGATACAGGACACCTCAAGGCTTATTTTGGTCTCTGCTTTTGTAACAAGAAGATGAAGATGTTCTGCCGCACTGATCAGCAGTGTATCTGTTATCTCTGCTCTGTGGATCAACATAAAGACCACGACACAGTCACAGCTGCAGCAGAAAGGACTGAGAGGCAGAGAGAGCTCGGGCCGAGGAGACAAACGATCCAGCAGAGACTCCAGGACAGAGAGAAAGATGAGAAGCTGCTTCATCAGGAGGAGGAGGCCGTCAACCGCTCTGCTGATAAAGTAGTGGAGGACCGTGAGAAGATCTTCACTGAGCTGATCCATCTGCTTGTGAAAAGAAGCTCTGATGTGAAGCAGCAGATCAGATCCCAGCAGGAAACTGAAGTGAGTCGCGACTCCCCCTCACTGTCACTCAGGCAATTGAGATACTCATCCAGGATCGGGTTCCCTCCTCTGAGGAACTTTGAGGACATGGCAGCAGCTATGTCACAGATCAGAGATCGACAGGACCTTCTGAGTGAGACAGAGAAAAAGATGTTTCAGATTGTGTCTCAAGTGGATGTTTTACTGCCACAACCAGAGCACAAGACCAGAGCTGACTTCTTAAAATATTCACAGGAAATCACACTGGATCCAAACACAGCAAACACATATCTGTTATTATCTGAGGGAAACAGAAAAGTGACATTCACGAATGAAGAACAGTTTTATTCTCATCATCCAGACAGATTCACTGATGTGTGGCAGGTCCTGAGTAGAGAGAGTCTGACTGGACGTTGTTACTGGGAGATGGAGGTGGAGAGAGGAGGAGGAGTTGAGGTAGCCGTCACATACAAGAATATCAACAGAGCAGGGAGGTCACTTGACTGTAGATTTGGATTAAATGACAAATCTTGGATGTTAGATTGTTATGGAAACAGTTATAACTTCTATCACAACAGCATCCAGACTCCAGTGTCAGGTCCTCCGTCCTCCAGAGTAGGAGTGTACCTGGATCACAGTGCAGGTGTTCTGTCCTTGTACAGAGTCTCTGACACCATGACTCTCCTCCACAGAGTCCGGACCACATTCACTCAGCCTCTCTATGCTGGAGTTGGGGTTTATAATCCTCAATCCACAGCTGAGTTCTGTAAACTCAAAGAGACTTGAGTCATTTAAAAGGGGCACACACTGGTAAATGGTAAATGGTTGTATTTATTGTGGCAGTAGACCATGCCACGGGGTTCTCTCCACGACAGCCAGAGACGAACCAGTTACACCATTGGTGGCTCAGCAGCATCTTTATTAATATAAAACAGAACTGACAAAACACTTAACTTAGAGGGTCCAGCATTTTCTGCTGGACCTCTAGCTTCGCCCAGTCTCTTCCCCAGTGTGTGTCCCCTTGAGGCAGCTCCGCTGCTGCCTTTTCAAGCATGAGGATCAATCAGCTAACAGCTCTCACCTGTGCTGACTGATCCTCTGTGGTGCAGGTGAAGGGGCCAGTTCTAGCACTTTTCTAGTCTAATGACCACTCAAAGTGCACATTCATACATACAGTGCATCTATGAGTAGCACTTTTTGTTGTTCTATGGGGCCATTCGGGGTTCAGCATCTTGCCCAAGATGGACACACCCAAGGACACTTTGGCATGCAGATGGGAAGACTGGGAATCGAACTTCCGACCTTCTGGACGACCGCTCTACCCCTCAGCCACAGCCACCTGTCAGGCCACAAGGGGGCAGTTGGCTGACGTCTTTTATCTTTTCTTTTATCTTTTCTTTTATTTTTTATCTGTTCTTTTATCTTTCCTTCTTTTTCCTCTTCTTCCTCTTTTTCCTCCCTTAGTCACTCTTGCTCCCACGTATCCTTGTCCTGCACTGCTGGCCTGTGATCTGGGATATTCTGACTCTAAATAAAATGTCTGACAGACTTTTCACAACGTGAATATAATGAGTTTTCATTATTTATAATATTCATTATGACTCATTAGCAAATGTTACAGTTCATGTGAAACTATATCGGAGGAGGAAACACAAAAAACAACAACACTGACACTGGCCCAGGGCTGGACGGCTATTCAGCAGAGTTTTATAAAAAGCTTATTGAAATACAGTGAAATTTTATAAATGGCACTCACCCACAGTCTCTCACTAAAGCCACTATTTGTCTTATTCTTAAAAAAACAAGGAGCCTCGGGATTGTGCATCATACCGTCCAATCAGCCTGTTAAATGTTGACTATCAAATCTGAGTCAAACGTCTTGCAATGCATCTGGAAACAGTCCTCCCATCGATTATTTCTCCTGATCAAACAGGATTTATTAAAAACAGGAGGGAGTCATGCTATGCAGGCTCGAGGTGAAGTCTGAACAAATGAGTCTTAAGTCTTTTGCGGAAGATGGAGAGCGATTCCGTTGTCCTAACATTGGTCGGGAGTTCGTTCCACCACTGAGGTGCCAAAACAGAGAAGAGTCTCAGCGATGGGGGTACCAGTCGGCCAGCTGATATAGATAAGCGAAGTGCTCTCCCAGCATGTGGTCTGACCAGTGTTTGGAGGTAGACGGATGCAGTTCCATTGATGGCCTTGAAGGCATCGTCTTGAATCGGATGCGGGCCCCAGCAGGAAGCCAGTGGAGGTCATGGAGGAGGGGGGGTCACATGGGAAAACTTGGGAAGATTGTAAACGAGGAGCGCTGCAGCGTTCTGGATAAGCTGCAACGGTTTAGTYGCAGAGGCTGGGAGTCCAGCCAAGAGGGAGTTGCAGTAGGCCAGACGAGAGATGACCAGCGCTTGAACCAGGAGTTGCGTTGCATCTTCTGTGAGGAAAGACCGGATCATGCTGATGTTGTAGAGGGCAAATCTTCATGATCGGGCCACAGCAGTGATGTTGGGGGCGCAGGACATTCCATCATCGAGGATTACGCCTAGGTTCCTTGCTGTCGACGAAGGTGATACCGTGACATCCTCGACAGTGACTGACAGGTCCATGTGAGGGCAGTCTTTCCCCGGGATGAAGAGGAGTTCAGTTTTACTAAGGCTGAGTTAGAGGTGATGCGCAGCTGTCCAGGCGGAGATGTCTGCCAGACATTCCCAGATGCACGTCGCAACGTGGGTGTTGGACGAGGATGTGGGAAAAGAGAGGAACAGTTGGGTGTCGTCAGCATAACAGTGRTAAGAGAATCCATGCGATGTGATTGCAGAGCCTAGTGATCTAATGTATAGTGAAAACAGAAGCGGTCCTAATACTGAGCCTTGAGGGACACCAGGTTCCAGAAGGCAGGGATTAGACAAGGAGCCATTCCATGTGACCTGAAAGGTGTGAGGGTATGATGTGAAGCAGGTCAGACCAGAGTCAGCAATGCCCAGTTCAGCCAGAGTGGAGAGGAGGATTTGGTGGTTGACTGTGTCAGACGCAGAGGATAAGTCGAGGAGAATGAGGACTGACGAGTTGGACGAGGCTCTGGYGGCACCGAGCGACTCAGTCACCGTGAGGAGGGCCGTCTCAGTGGAGTGACCAGTCCTGAAGCCTGAATGATTCGGGTCAAGGAGTTCATTTTCTGAAAGATAGGAGGACAGTTGGTTGTAGAGTGCATGTTCCAGTGTTTTAAAGAAGAATGAAAGAAGAGAAACAGGTCTGTAGTTTCGGATGTCAGCTGAGTCTAAAGTGGGTTTCTTTAGGAGTGGCTTTACTATGGCTGTCTTGAAAGGAGCTGGAATAATGCCTGAAGTGAGGGAGGAGTTGATCGGAGTGGTGAGGAATGGCAGGATGTCATGAGAGATGTCTTGGAGAAGAGAGGAGGGATTCGGGTCAAGGGAACAGGTGGTGGCACGGTTAGACGTCACTAGTGTGAGAACATCTTCAGAGGAGAGAGGGCTGAAGCAGGTAAGGCCATCAGAGGTGAGGGTTGGGGGAGGTGCTTTCTGGATGAGCATAGGAGTAAACAAGGAGCTGATGTCTTTTACTTTCTTGGTAAAGTAAGTTGGAAAGTCATYAGCAGTGAGGGAGGAAGGAGGGGGAGGAGTAGGAAGGGTGAGGAGAGAAGAGAATAAGGAGAATAGTTTCCTGTGGTTGGAGGCAGAGGAGTTAGGTAGAAGATACTGTTGAGGTGAAGTCAGAGAGGATGTGGTGCTAATGGGCAAGGTCATCAGGATGATGTGATTTTCTGCATTGTCTCTCTGCTGCTCATAGAACCAACCTATTGGTTCACAGAGATTCAGACAGCCAGGGGGGGGGGTGATCGTGCCGGTAGGGAGGTGAGAGGACAGAGAGCATCTAAAGAGGACGAGAGGGAGGATCGCAGAGTGGAGGAGGCTTCCTCAGTAGACATTAGAGAAAACTGGTCTGTAGATGGTAGTGAGGAAAGAACAGTAGAGGAGAGGGAGAGAGGGATTTCAGATTGCAGCGGGTGGTGACTGTGTGAGGTCTGGGGGCGAGGGAGGTGGTGAATTTTAAGGGGAGAGAGAAAGTGACAGCGTGGTGGTCAGRCACAGTGAGTGGGGTAACAGAGAGTGCCAAGGTACTACAGGACCTTGTGAAGACAAGATCGAGTTGGTGAGAGAGGGGGAGAGGGTGAGGTCAAATGTGGAGAAGTCAATGAATTCAGAGGAGCACAGCTTCTCTGGGGGGATGTTGAAATCACCCAGGACAACGAGCGGTGTGCCATCGTCAGGGGAGCAGCTCAGGAGGGCATCCATCTCATCAAAGAAGTCACGGATTGGCGGGAGGGCGATATCACCACGATGTATCCCTGGATGTGGGGAAAGCGTTTGACAGGGTGGATGGAAATACCTTTTTTACATTCTAAATAAATTTGGCTTTGACTCCAATTTCATGACTTGGGTGAGACTTATGTACTCCCCCCTCAAGCTTCTGATAGGACTAACAACACTCAATCAGGTTATCTTCCTCTGCAGTGGTCAACACGCCGAGGCTGCCCTGTAAGTCCCTCGTTGTTCTCTCTCACTATAGAACCCCTTGCAATCGCCCTTCGCTCTAACCCCCTCTTTAAAGGTATAGTCAGATATGGACAGGAACACAAACTGTCTTTATATGCAGATGATTTATTGCTATATATATCCGACCTCTCTGTTTCCGTTCCGGCTGCTCTTGCCACTATCACATCCTTCGGTCACCTATCAGGATACAAACTGAATCTCGAYAAAAGTGAACTGATGCCGCTCARTGTGGCTGCAGAAAATTCCTCTTATTTGAAATGTGTCATGGTAGTTCCGTCTATCTCGGTGTGCATGTTACAGATCCATTTGAAAAGCTCTTCAAGGCCAACTTTAAACTTTACCTCTCTATCAACCCGTTCTAAGGACCATTGTGAACGCTGGTCTTTGCTGCATCTCTAGATTTAACTTAATAAGTAAATTTTTATCTTTCTTCCCAACACATTCTTCCCAAACATAGACACCCTACTCTGATCTTTATAAGGAATAAAAAGACTCCTAGGACCCAAAAGCAACTTTTGCAGAGGCCCAAATCAGGTGGAGGATTAGCGCTACCAAATTTCAGGTTCTATTATTGGGCCTCTAATCTTAGGATCATTCAGTACTGGTTGCAGGGCAGAGTGATATCCCCTCCCCCAACTTGGCTAGAAATGGAGGCCGYTTCTTTACCAGCAACATTGTCTTCTCTTGCTCACTCCTCCACCACAGGCCCTTACTCCTCTTTCACCAAAAATACCTGTTAAAACAACATTGAAGATCTGGAACCAATTCAGACGCTACCTTGGGTTCAGACAGCCCGTCTCTCCGCTCCAGTAGCCTCAAACCCAGCTTTTCCCCCATCAATGGCTGACAGTGCTTTCTCAACATGGTCTAATCTCAGTATTAAAATATTTAAAGATCTCTATATTTACTATATATTTAATGCGTTTGAGCAATTATCAGWTAAATYTGGTGTTCCCACACATCCCTTTTTCAGGTTCTTACAGATCCAGAGTTACGTCCGCAGCGTAGAACCCCAATTCCCCAGCCTCCCGGCTGAAACGCAGTTTGACACAGTTCTTACCCCGCTCCCTACTCTGAAAGGTACCATGTCGATAATCTATGCTCAACGTTGGTCAAACAAATTTAAATCCTAATTGGAGGAGGAACTAGGTGAGGCACTCCCTGGTGAATCATGGGAAGGGTCTCTTAAAGGGGTACACACATCTTCCATTTGTTCTCGGCATGGTCTCATTCCGTGTCAACTCGTTCATAGGGCTGAACCAAGGCAAGGTTCTCCAAAATCTCTGCAGATGTGAACCCAAACTGTGTGAGATGGAACCAGTGCTGCAATACCCAGAGTCTTGTGACCCAAACATCTGCCAGGCTGGTATGAAAGTCAGCACAGGATGGAAGTGGAGAGCAGCAGAGACTATGGATGTCACAGAGGCCCGGTTAAGGCACAGCGGAAGGACAGGAGGTCGCTGGTTCAGGATGAGGTGAGAGTATAAATTGAGCGCAAAGTCTCATAGGTCAAACTTTGGAAAGCCGAGCCCCATCGAATAAAATTCTTAATCCAGGCTGTCTATGATTTTCTACCAAGCCCATCCAACTTGTTCTGCTGGGGGAAGGTAGAGTCACCAGCCTGCCTGAAGAGAAGGAACCTGGAGCACATCCTCAGCTGCTGTTCAAAAGCCCTGGGGAGGAGAGGCGCTACTGCTGGCACCATGACAAGCCCAGTGAAGAAGACCATCGCTTTCGTCAGGGCTGGGGAGAAGCCAACATCAGCTGCTAGGACCACCTCCACGGGCCCGCTAGCAACGGCACAAGACTGGGAGCTGAACGTTGACCTGGGGAAGCCACTGAAGTTCCCAGACATGCTCCTAGAACTCACCGTTCCCTGGGAGGACCATATTGAGGTGGTCAACCACAGGAAGAGGGCAGTATGCTTGCAAAACTCCCTGTTTCCCAGTTAACCCTTCTTGGGACGATGGTGAGACACAGTCGTGGTTGCATTGTTATTTGATTTTGTCCTGTTATGCCAAACTTGTCTATCATCTGGACTGGACTGGATATTATATATATAAATGTTATGTGACTGTTTGTGGAGGTAAAATATGTTTATTCACTTCATGGTGGAGATTCACATGAAAACAAAAAGATTTGCTCCAGTTTAGTTCACGTTCTCGATCAGTTTTTACAATATTTAAACGTGATGTGAGCTGGTACACTTAACACCAGTTCCCACAAGCCCTTGGGGTAGAGGTAACTGCTGCCTGACTGAGGCTACTTGAGTTGAGACAGAGATGATGTTTAATAAATGAGAAATTAGATTTAAAGATAAGGAACTTGCAGTTTAAGTACATTCATGAAACACATTGAATTCTATCAAATGAAGCAGGACTGAACTTTTTTAAAATCATCAGAGTGTAAAACTTCTATCAAGGACTCATTTATTTTGAATATGAACAACGAACAGCAGGAATATTTTCACTTTGAAAAAACTCAAATCTTCACTGAGACTCATGTGGCACAGACACTGAAACAATTCACATGCTAATTGATTTGATTCCTTAATTAATCAATTCACATTTTGTTTGATCAAATGTGAAATGTCTTGTTTTATTCATCCATGAACCAAATAAAAAGGAAAACTCAGGTTTCAGTGACATAAAACAGAGATTATGCAAATTCATCCATTAACTCATCAAAACAGCAGATTTTTCAGATAATTCCTGTGAATCGATTAATCAAATAATCTTCTCCTGCTCTGGATCCGACTTCAGCTCTCAATGTAGATGTGACTTAAAAAACTGGATGTGTAAATGTCACAGGTTAAAGTCGCCGTGTTCTGATCGATGAGAAATCAACGTTCGGCTCAATGATCCAGAGAGAATCTGTTTCCTCCTGAATTTAACATTATTCAGAAACAAAAACACAACGTGTGTAGGAGAACGAATTCTGATGCAGCTCTCGTCTTATTCAACGCTTCAGCAAACAGATGCATCATAACAGATGAATGAGTGTAAAAATGTGTGTGTGTGTCTTCATCCCTCTTCTTCCTCAGTGTCCAGCAGTCCTCTGTTTGGGGGGAGGGACGGTTTGATTTCCTGCCAGCGTTGTGGCGGCCAGATGATGTGAGACGCTCGGCCGTGAAGCAGCCCGACTGACACCTAGAACAAAATAAAGAACATAAAAACACATGCCGTGACCAGTTTGTGTTGATACAGATTTGAGTCCAGATATTTATCATGTTCTACTGAGAGAAAAGGAAAGTAGCCTTGGTTTGACTTTTTGATTTGAAGTGATTTACCCCCCCCACACACTTCTAGAGGTTTCTCTCTGTTAATGAGGGAGTTTCTCCTCCACAGTCTCAAAGTGCTGCTCATTGTTCAACTGTTGGTTCCTCTAGATGAAGAAGATCTGAAGCTCTTCACCTTCTCTGTGAAGAGTCTGGAGATCATGGATATCAGGATTTGGTGCTAAACAAATCAAATTGAATTGAATTAAGTGAAGAACTTTCTCCTCACGTTTGACCAAAGTATTTTTCTGGACCTAAACTCTGGAGACAAAGTCCTGATTCCAGTTCTGTTCATGCATCTCAAAAACCTATAAAGTTCTGGGACAGACGGACATTAAGTGAACGGCTCCCACCAGCCGCCCCAGCAGATCTCGTGTCAGCTGGAAATGACGCCATCAGGACAGATGTGTCACCTGCTACTGACCGGTCCGAGTAACATCGTTGAAATTACAGTTATGATGATATTGATTCATTACAGAGAGAGAACAGGAAGATAATGTCAAACTGAATAATGAGGTGCGATAAGCTGAATCCAGAGATGAACTGTTAATGAACAAAAGAATAAAATCATCTCTTGTAACTCAGATATTTGAAGTTTGTTATGAAGTCTGTGCTGATACATGCAACTTTCAGGAATTAGCCACAACCATAAACTCTGACAACAGCTCTCACACTCCATCTAGTGACTCTTCATCTTTCCCCAAACTAACTTCTGGCAGTGTTACACTCATAGACCGTTATTAAAAAAGAACGCAGTCGTCTCTTCTGTTGGTCTGGACTGTGGCCCGAGGTCCAGAAACCGTTTACTCCTGATATTTTACTTCAGACTAAACTCAAAAGTCTGAGCCAAAGGTGTGAACAAGTCCTGAAATGCTTCTTCACATTAATTGGTTTTGTCTACTTTTCCCCTGTTGGTCACAGAAATGACTGTTTATCATCAATCACTTTAAATGAGTTGTTATTTACAGACTCCGTGACGCAGCCTGACGGGGAGACAGTGACCAGACGTCTCTTATATTAAACGTCAGTGATGTTTTGATCACCGGCAGGTCGTACCGGTCCGAAGCTGTTGCTGTCCAGACTGTGGCCGTGATGATCCCCCTCGATCCAGAAGTGACCATCGGGAACGCGGACGTATCGGTTCTTGTAGCTCAGAGTCCTGAAGAGACACAAGAATGAAAATAGAGATTTTGTTTTTCTATTAATTTCCTCTAAAGATGTTAAAACAGCCGAAACAAAAGGAAACGATGTCTGAAATTCTTCCAGTGTCATCGAATCACAAAACCAAGAATTTTGTCCGAGCTCGCCGGAGATTAGAAATTCGAGCAGAACGGATTTCACCGAAATCAATAATCAGCTGAAAGACAATTTAGTCTTGAGTTTTGTAAAAGACAAATAACTACACAGGCGATAGTGAGACATCCAGTGATATAATAAATCAGTTGGAATTGGGTGATTCTGCCCAACGAGTACTTTTTACTTTACGAACGTACATAAGGAATATTTGTATGTCATGAATATACTCTTATTTTGATTTTGTTTCCATGTTGTGGTCTTGCTGCTTTTTTCTTTAAAGCATTAGAGAATTACCACACAATTAATATCCATGTTAATATAGCATGTATGTAAATGTGTGTATCCATATCTTATAATGTGTATTAGCAGTGTCTGCTAGAGAAAGAGAAAAACCCGATGGGAAGAATAATCGTTTCATTACATCGACAAGAAAAACAAAGGATGAAAATCAGGAGGTATTTTACAGTTACGGTCCTTCAAACAAAAACAAGTCGCCTCTGTTTCATTATCGTTAATCATCAAGATCATCATCAAGATCCTGGGACACGCTGAGACCGAGTGGAGGTGTTGTTCCTCTCGTCCTGCTTCAATCAGCTCGTCATGTGGAGGAGGCCGAGCGCTCTTCATCTTCCTCTGGACAGTGATGGGCGTATCCCGGCTCTGAATTATAACTCTGGTGACTTTTTAAATGGAGATTTGTGTGTGATTCGTCGCGCGATGTTCAGAGAGGCTCCAATGAACAGATACATAAATATTGATTTGGCCACAGCAGCTGAATTTACTGACGCACAAATCTCTTCAGAAGCAGCAGAGACTGACTTCACTGTTCATCTGACAGGTTCAGTTTGTGGAGAACAGAACGCCCTCATATAATCTCTCTCTGGGATTAAACCTGATATGAAGTCAGACAAAATGTCCCCACAATGATGGTGTTGAACCAAAACTGTCCCTCATGACTGTTAAATTCTTACAATGAATATTTCTTTATGTAATTTTTCAGACAAATGAAGAAGATGGTACCTGCTTAATATTTAACGACATAATTCATCTTTGACTCATAAAGATGAACTGGATCTCAGGTTCCAGGACAAACTGACAACTTGAGCTCTGAGATGTTGACATGGTGTACGCAGCACAAACACGATGCATCAGAACAAATCCTTCAACCTCCTGTGGACTGAGATCAGTGTCTCTGACAGACGCCACGCAGTGAACCAGTAGACTTGTATCCACGGTCGGACCCTGCAGCAGCTACAGAGGCTGACAGGACGTGGACGGTCATTGGAGCAACAGAGGCACGGCCACAGTATCATGACACGCCATCGACATATCACACACCCCATCTGATGTCATACACCCCATCAACATATCATACACCCCATCAACGTCATACACCCCATCAACGTCATACACCCCATCAACATATCACACACCCCATCAACATGTCATACACCCCATCAACATGTCACACACCCCATCAACATGTCACACACCCCATCAACATATCACACCCCAGCAGCCGTTTGTGTCAGATGCTGCTGCCACAAATTACAGGTCAGTGACTGGGGGGGGGGGGGGGGGGGGGGGGGGGGGCTGAATAATGAACAGGCCTGTGACGGGCTCCCTGGCGGAGGCGGTGCTTTAAACGGGCCTGGTCGACATGAATCACAGCTCCGGGTTGAATCCGCCCACGCCGGCCACGTGAGCGCCAGCCGCAGAGAGACAACGGGTTCATGACTCATCCCTGAAACACGTAAATCTCCTTTATCTCTCTTTTATCACTGCGGCCTGATGGTTACGTTTCAAACTCAGAGTCAGAAGCTCCGTCCTCCTGCTGCGTCTCATTATCTGAACCGAGGAACTCATTTCCTCACGAGAACGCAGCGTAACAGCTCCTCACACTCACTCTCTCACTCACTCACTCACTCACTCACTCTCTCACTCTCTCACTGTTTGTGAAGCAGCTGCAGTGATTTACTTTTGCCACCAGGTGGTGCCAGTTAACGTGATTAGAGCTCGGCGTGATGGAGTGAAGCTCTTGAGCGCAGGTGCGACTGAGAGGTTCAGTCTCACATCGACCTCAGGAAACATGAGGTCTGAAGACCGGGCTGTGGTTCTAAACATATTATTAGTTCCTCTATCGGTGTCAGACGGGCTCAGCCACGTTTGTCACTGCAGGATGTCGCTCTCCTACCTGATGAAGTCTCCCTCCAGGCCAATGACCCTCTTGATGATCTTCTGCTGGGGGTTCTTCGGGGACCTGAGCGATCGATATACACATATTTATTAGGAAACAAGCAGCAAACACAAACAAGCCAGTAAGAATCATACAAGCGTGAAGGAGTGTTGCAGTGTGTGTTACATCCTCCTGTTCTCACGTCTGATGTTTTACTCTGCGTCTACAAACCAGCCACGAGGCAGCGGTCCGATTTTTCTGTCTGGTGTGTGATGAAGCTCTGACAGGAATCGATCGCTGCTTCTTTCATCTGTGATTCAGCTCTTTACCCAACTGCAACACCAAGAACTATCCGGACTAATTAAGAAGCCTCCGCCTGAAATGTGAAGCACAAGCTCTACACACAGCAGCTACATTTCCCTTTAGCAGTGGAGGCACTGAAAGATTAAAAACCTGAGTACTTCTCCTAAACTCTCCTGATTAAACATTCTCTTTGGATCAAACCCAAACTGAGCTTCGGACAAACAGACACCGAGTCGTTCTTTGCTCCTGAACAAAGTGCGTTGTGAACATTGAAGGTGAGACCATCCACGGAACAGCGTTTCTTCCCGTTGCTCACGTGTTGCACTGCGAGTACGGAGCCATTCAGAACTCATCTGCAGTCTGAGGACGTGTGAGCCTCGTGGGATCAAACCCACGCTCTCTTTCTCTCATGATGTGAACAGAGGACGTGTCTGGTGATGTGATGCTGTGTTTTCCTGCAGAGTTTATTTATTTCTGTGACTCTGGTGATGAAGGTCAGAGACGCTGCTGCCGCACACTCATGATGATTTTAACAATCGCACAAAAGCACAACAGCGCCTCCATCTGCCGAGGAGGCCGAGGACCTTTAGTGTCAGCATTTAAGTGTAGTTTACCGCTCGCTCACCGAATCGTCCTCACACCCTGATAACGGCCTCAACACCAACAACCAATCAGGAACAAGATGTTCACACCAAACTCCACTGATCTGATCTGCAGCCGCTCGGTGATCAGGACTGT